TATTATTTTTATAACTTTCTTTTAAACAATTGTATTGTTATTAAAGTATTTTTTTGTCACTTTATGTTTATTTGGTATTTTCATGAGTACTCTTTTGTTAATGTCTAATTGTTGTAGGTTAACTTTGTTGAGATGTTCCCAAACAGAATCAAAGTATTAGTATTGAACTTTCTAAAACAAGATTGTAGAAAATGTATCTTTTTGTGATAAAGATATGATAGGATGGATACCACTATGGCCACCTTAATTTAGATTTTTATTACATTCAATTTGCAAAATGAAGCCAAATTTCATTTATATTATACCTAAAAGTTTAGTACAACCTGCTCCATTGTTAAGAGTTACAACAAGTCAAGACTTTATCTGAGCAAATGATTGTAATATTTTATAACTCAGTCATTAAACAATGACTTTATTCCAAACAAACTGATTAAACTAATGTAAGATCCATCAACAGACTCAAGACACAGGAATATACAGTTTAATGTTTTTCACTATTTAGATTTAGACTTTTCTTCACGTCATAATACTGACTGGAGAGCATAGTTAAACTGCACTATGATGATGATGGGAGAGTGATTTAGATTAGATATAGCTGCAGGAGATCAGACAGGTAGCAGGTGGTAAAAAAACAAACAAGAGGAGGTAGATAATATAATAAGAAGAGAAATAGGATGAGGGGGAAATATTATTTGACTGGAAGAGAGCAGAACAGGCCACCTAGGGATGCACATAAGGAGGATAATAAGATTCAAGAGGAAGACATCCAGGAATAAAGGAGAGAGACACTCAGAAACGTGATAGAAAATAAGGCTCAGGATGTGAAAAAAACAGATTAACTTCTGATACATCCCAATGAAATGTCAGTGTAACAGAGTCAGAGAATGTGGGTGAACTTAGTTCTCTGGCGGAAAGTCAATTTTTCACCCCAAAACTCATTTTGGGTTTGGCTCTATCTGCAGCCAGGCCATCTGTTTTATACTGGCAACCACAGCACCTGAAGGGGACTCAACTCAGACTTTTTAGGGCTAAAAACACAATACTGTTATTTCTGCTTACACATCTGTTGCATGTCTGTCCATCCTGGAAGAGCAATCTATCTTCTGTTCTTTCTTTTTTTCATTAAAGGAGGAAGGGTGGGAGCTTTCTTTATTCTAAAATATAAATATCACTGTTCACTTTTACCAGTTAAGTACGATTTACAAAATATCTAACTGCTGCCATGAAATGTAATAATGTAAAGATATAATATGTCTTTCATACTTGATTAAAAATAGAATTAGTTTCATTTAACTGATTATTTATATGATTAATTTAAATTTGAAACTTAATTTGAGGTTATGTATTGATATGTAATTGCTGTCAAACATGTAATCACTTGTATAAGTAGAAGAAGAAGAAGAAAAATTAATAGCATATTCAATATAACTTAATCTAAATTAGGCTAAATTTAGTTGTACTTTTATTTGCTGTCATTAGATGTAATATGTTTCTCTAATTGGATTAAATTAATTCATTAGAAGTTCTAAATTAATAGGAAAATCATATTATTACATTAAGTGCTAATTATTACTTTATACAAGCTGTCAAATAGTTTAACTGATGCTGTAACATTGACCTACAGAGCTGTAAGTGGAGTTAGAATATTCAACTTACATTAACAATGGCCTGGTAGTGACCATCAAGTACTTTAAACCCCTTACAAAATAAATATTAGCACAATTTATATGAGGTTTATGTTCCACTGCAAGTAATTGTTACAGCGCTCCCTCCCAGTTGTTGATTAAGAAGGGTCTTTTTGTGTATCAACCAGCAGATGGCAGCAAAGGACACCAAACAAACATCTAAAGCTGAAGTCAGAGCCATGGATGTATTAAGACAGATTAAGTTCTTATAATATATATTTATGTTCAGAGCCCATACTAATTCTGTATATTAAAAAAAAAAACATTGAATAAAAAGGAGAGCTCCCTGCAGTAAGGTTTTGAAAATGATGACAAATAATGTGTTGTTACAGATAATATAAATAGATAAGATTAATGATAAAACATGTATAAGATATGTGAGAGATATTTCAAATACAGGTTAAATTACCTGCACTCTTTAAGAAATCACAATATGTTGATTGCTACAAACTTTACGAACTGGCTGGACTGATTCTTCAACAAAATTCATGCCTCATATTGAAGGACATTAAAGTACTTATTTTTTTAGCAAAATCTCACACTTTCCGATGGAAGATGCAATTATTACTTTTATTATTAAAATTTTTTATTATTGCCAGCTTGTTCTGATAGCTGCTCACAAGTCTTGGCAGAATTACACATCAAGACAGTCTAATCAGCTTCCTTGATTTTTTTGCTTTCATATTTTTTTGGGATTGTGTTTAAGTTTTGACAGGAATCACCTCTTTAATGCTGCTCTGAACTCCTCCTCATTAATTTTCAGACTTAGAAACACTGTACAAAAGGCAGTTATCGACTGATTGAGGTCTCATTCTAGTATTCTATTTTACAAAAAAATGTGGGCAGCTATAAGACATCTGTAACCAGGCTATAAAAATGTCTGTCTGAACAAAGAAAGCAGGACATTTACAAGAGTAAAGTTCCCCATTTTGAAGCTTAGATTCGGTGGAATGGCCCTTCGGGTGCTATGACAAAAGAAAACAAGAAAGCAGTGAAATGTGAACAATTTTATATACAGACTTTTAGTTTAGGAAAATGAACATGAGTATAAAGGCTCCGTATTGTACAGGTTGGTCATTTCAATACAGCACATTGAAAACATACAGTAAATATCAATGCATACAGTAGATCTCTGAACAACCCAAGAAAATATGGATTGCTTTGAATCCCAGAAACACATATTTCCCAGAAGTATTTTGAAATGAACTCATAGCAATAGCATCCAAAATGCATATCTGTACATACAGATGATAATTTTAAAAACTTCCTCTGTTACTTTTTAAACTGGATTATAGGTTGTGTGGTCCATAAACTGATAGTCCTTATGATGAGCCATTCTTTCTGACTGGCAGTGACGACTATTCGTACGCACTCGATGTCAAAGCCGATCTTGTGGTCCACATTGTTAACCTCGATGCTTCCGCCTTTAAACTCTCCTAATGTGATGTAGGATGAACACTGCCTTCCCTGTTTAGTTTCCACAGACTTCTGTCCTACTTCCAGAGCTCCGTGGTGAAGAATGTCACTTTGTCTATCCTCTGTGCCTGTCACAATTTTAATTCTGCTGATTTTAATTGATTTATTAAAGATTATGACAAAGAAATCTCCAGTGCACGGAGGCTTCCCCCAGAAATATTCATCAACAATACTGCTGTAAGCCTTCGTGGCATCAT